AGCGACCGCGCAGAACCCTTGGGAACCGGGGCGGACACACACACACACACACACACACGTGTTAGACAAAGGTATGTCAACTGTCACATATGGCTTACACACACAGATATATCTATCTATCTATCTATCTATCTATCTATCTATATGTACATGTGTGTGCGCGTCAATCACCGATGGATGGATAGATAGATGGTTGAGTGGTTTGAAAGGAGTGGGATTCGCTTGGCAGCATCTGCAGGCTCCACAGGCTCCCCCTCCGGTCCCGGAAGCTGCGGCGGAGGAGTCGCGGTTTGATCCACTGGCGCCTGGGCGCATGTTGAATCGACAGAGTGCAGAGGGAGGGGTCGGACGGGTTCCTGTTGAATCAGGTTTGGCTATCCGACTGCCTCAAGCAATCTGCGACTGGGCGAACCTTTCCGCTGCATCTCGTGAAGTTTGCTTGTTACCTGCCCGAGGCGAGCGGCGACGCGAGCTTTCGAGACCAGATTCGCGAGCGAGTGATCCAGCAGATCAAGGCTGCAGAGGCAGATGCCGCTCAGATGCCCCGTGACACCCAGTTCTGGGGTGACGATGTTTACACACAGACGCGCACACACTCAGAGACACAGACACAGAGATCATCTGCCTGCCTGTTTATTGTGGTGCAGGCAGCCGAGGAGGCCGAGCGAGCTCGAGCCGAAGCCGAAGCCGCGGCCGCACGGGCAGCCTGCTCAGAGTGGGGGAAAGCCTACTCCAGAAAAGAGCCGCAGGAATCCGCGCACGTAGAGTTCGACGTAGAACCCAAGATTGCACCAGCGGGAGCCAAGTAAGCCGAATTGGATTCGTGTAAGCTCGATCTTCACCACATGACATCTCGGGCAGGCTGACCATGCATCCCATCCGCAGAGCTAGACCTTGCCAAGCATGGCTAGGTTGATGATGGCGAGATCACCACAATCGCAGAGGGGGCTTCTGAGAGTGGCAACTGAGGCCATGGCTGCCAGACATTCAGTATGCCGCAGCACCATAGGACGATAGGCTGCAAGATCTTGTCGTGCTGGTAGTTTCTGCAGCCGCCTCACACAACAAGCATGGTTTCACTTGCAGAGCGAAAGAATCCGCCGCACCCTTTGGTCAAAAGCGACGCGCGCAAGCTGGCTCTGATGTGATGGCTGTGGCGTCTTTCTGCATCCCTGCGACACCGGACGTTCTACAGCATCCTCGTGTGCAATGGTATATCTGTACGAAGAGGCCGACATGTCCACACTGTTAGGAGAAGTGAATGGCAATGGAATGCGAACAGTCCAAGAATGTTGGTATGCGGCAGCTTCTTGCTTAAGCCATTTGCTTAAATGCCTCGCCAAGTGGCACGCCAGGTTCCCACAACCCGTGGATTCCTTCACCTCGTGCTAGTGATGCTAGTGTGTCACGTGCTTGCAGAGCTGACGTCATTTTGCTGCAGCATCTCGTCCTGTGATGGATGGCGATGGCTTCGATTTGTATGGCCGCGATCCCAGAAGTTTCAGCTGGGGGCCAATTTTGCTGGGACACATGATGGTATTAGCTTTGCAATTTCGAAGGCTTCTGCATGCCCCCGAGAATCCTCGTGTGTTGTGCAGATGACCTGCAGCTGCAGCCAGAGCCAGTCGACCTGAAACCAGCTCCCCCGCCCGGTCCTCAGAGACTAGGCTTCGCTTGAGCAGAATCCGTTCCTGGCAAAGTGCCCGGCCTTTGTGCCGGTCTCAATGCGGCTCTGCATGGGGTCAAGCCGCCGTTACAGGACCCCTCCATGGAGAAAGCCGGCCAAGGTGGACGGCTTCTCAGAGCACCCGAGCCAGAGCGCTCACCTCTGATTTCTCTCGTGCACGCATCTGCGCCCCAAGGAGAAGATTAGCTTGGATCCCAGCGCGAACCCAGGTAGTCGGGCACCTGTCCTGGTATCTTGAGCGAAGGCCAGAAGCCGCAGTCCGGGGCGCAAGCTTTGCTGGAGTCGACGCCTGAGTGCCGACAGGCAAGGAGCCGCATGTAGGAAGCCTTTCCGCGACCCCGCCCAGGCTTCTGCGTGCCGCACTTGCAGAGGATGAGATGTGGGCTAGAACATCTACTGGTAGTTACAATTCGCAGTCATGCTGCTCCGTGTGTTTCGATTCTTGCGGTGTGCTCGTGATCCAGTGGTGCCTGGGCACAGTATGCAGCTAAGCGGGCATAGAAGGCACTGTGGGTGCATGAGGTGCTGGAGCAGAGGACTTCCTGGACGCAGAAGACGACGACCAGCCGCAGCAGGAAATCGAAGCAGGCCATCCGGTCCGGCAATAGGCCGCTGTCGGGTTTCTTGCGACTGTTGCTGGCAGATGCTGGCAGGTCGCAAAGCAGATTGGCTTCATGAACCTGATTGCCTCGAGGCCGGCATGAGGCTTTCTAATGCGGCTATGATGCTGCAATACTATACTGTAGTCAGTGTGCCAGAGGTTGGTGATGATTCGACCGATGCTGTGGAAGCGCCTTTGAAGAGACAGCGGATCCAGGTGCGAGAAGCAATGCCTGTGCGATCCCGTTTGTGGTGTGCCTTTCAAGATCCTTCAAGCATGTGTCGGAAGACAGTGACAGTGACATTTGCAGCCAAAGCTCAAACGTATTCATAAAATACGGCGTTACTGACAACAGTGAATGCTTCCATTTTATGCAAAAGGGGCTGGGACAGAGCCACCACAGGCCAGCAGCTACAAGGCCACGAGCAATCGCTCAACGCTGCTCGAGCATCACAACCTATATGTAGTGAACCGGAAACTTCTGTGGTCATGGAGCAAGTCGATTCAGGGGAAGGTTGTTTGTAGAGGTGACCGGGTGCCTTCGCGACCCGTGTTTTGGTCGACTAAAGCAAGCAACGATGTTTACAAGTTTGGTAGTTGTTGGCGGCAGGCGATGGAGCCGCCAGGCAGCTCGGCAGCATGCTCTGCTCCCTGTTGCACCCTTAAAGCTCACAGACCACCGCAAGATGTCGCAAGCCTCGAGCAGCGGCTTTCAGGTGAGGACGAGGCCCAAGCCCGGTCCTCAGGTCACAGGCCTGGCTCAGGAGCGAAGTTCTGCAGTGCCGAGGCCGAAAGCGACGACGGATTCGACTTCGAGTTCGAAGCGGATCTTCAAAAGGCCACGGCGAGGCGGGATGCGCCGGCTCCAAGCGGGGAGTTCCTGCAGCTCCAATTCCCGGGCAATCGTCGCACCACGGTAAGCTGCTTCGATGGCGAAGGTCGGGGGCTGCGGTCGATGTCGGCCTCGGCACCGGGAAGGTCCGGGAAGGTTCCAAGCCGTGAAGCTTGAGCTCAGGATCGGGCATGCTGAGTGAAGATGGACTGAGCTGCACGCAGCTTGTGGCAGCCGGGCCTGGGCCTTGCAGCGTCACGGCCTGAGTGGCAACGAACCTCTCGCTGCGTGTCATGCTGCGGGTGGCCGCGGCGAGGCTGCAGGTCCGGCACCGGGAACGACTTCCTCACAGCCGGGGGCCTTGGCCAACGACATGCAAGCAGAGTCCGAGATGCCAGCAGGCTTTCAGAGCCGAGACGCCGTCCAACAGCTCGTAGTCGTGGTCAAGCTAGCCTTCAGTTCTTGCCCTGCGAATAGCTGATATTAACAGCAAGCTGCACCGATGCAGCACTCGTGCGCAGTTGAATTCCTTATCGCTTCGTCGCGATCAAGGCTAAGACGAAGGCAACAATGCAAGCCAGCAAACAGAGAGTGCTTCTTCTGGACTTGGGAAACAGCTTCACGTCCGTCCCGTGAGGTATGTGTACAACACGCGCACGCAGTCCGAGGCCCAGGCATCAGGCTGTTCTGAGAGGTGGCAGAGGACCAGGACAAATCCTCGTGCTGAGTCAGCCTCCAGCAGGCGCTGGGAAAGCGGCACGCAGTTCCGGATGCCGAAGGCCATCTGCAGGGGTATCTCTTTGAAAGTCTGCAGTTTCCGTGAGAATTTTGGAGTGCGATTCCGCAGGATGCAACACGCGTCCAAGGCGCAGATTTTCCGAGTTCTTCAGTCCGAGGCTTGTGTCCCAAGTCGGCGTTTCCAGGTAGCGGGCCGAGGCGCAAGGCCAGACCCAAGACTCCTCTCTGCTGCCTGATGCTTTAGGGGATTGCGGCTCAACAGAAAATGCATGCGTCGCAGAGGTGAAGCTGTGTCGCTTCTTTGCCATCTCGGGCTTTTGTAGATGGGGAAACAGCCAGGGCCTCGTTCAACTTGAATCGTTGAGCCCGTCTCAGACATGCCTTGGAGTTTGATGCGAGGTTGCTACTTTGCACACGGCGAGGCAGGTCGGCCATGTTTGCACTCCATGTGCAATGCACAGAAGTGCGACTGGGGAAGGGCACCTCCGCAGCCACACGCAGCCACCTTCGAACCCGAGGCAGAACTCGCCCTCGGCGGTGATGCAGTATCTCAGCGCAAGCCACAGCTTGCCACACGTGCAGGGATCCAGTTTCAAAACACAGCTTGAGAACTCTTGATCTCCCAGGCAGCAGATCATCTCAGAATGCTCCTCCCGGGCATGGGACGATGCAGAGGGAGGCGATGGCGGTTTGATACAGACATAACCGCTCTAGATGAGGCTAGAGCGGTGCAGGAGATCCTTGCAAACTTCGCAAGGATCTGTGTCGATCCTCTTTGGGAGGCTGCTGCAGCTACGCCCAAGCCCTCGCAGTTCGGCTTGCGCTGCGCTTTGAGGCACCACGGGGAGTTGCACCCAGCACAGTGCGTAGAGCGAGCCTTGAGCGCTCGAGGCGCAGCCAGAACATCTCCTGTCTCGTGCTCGGGTGTGATGTTGCTGAGCGTGGGCGATCCAAACCAAAACATGGTTGCAACCAGGCCAACGATGGAAAAGACTGGCTTGCCAACATCTGGAGACGGGGCCCGTGCAGCAGCCGAGCACTTGGAATTTCGGCTTGGCACATGTGGGGGTGCTGATGGTCGGCTTGCTTCATCCCAGTCAGAAGTCAATACTTGGAAGGTAAAAATGCTGCTGAGGCCACTCGCCGGGAAGTTATCACATGTTGCACGCCGACGGGCAAGTCTTGGCAGCTGTTTGTAGGCTGTGTCATCCGGACAAGTGTGGGCATCCGGAGGCCCTGTTCTGCAAGGAAATCTCGAAGACATCCGCTCTGTGTCCAACTTCTGCAGGCCAAAAAGGCCGTCCAGATCCTCGGACCCCTGCTGGCGAAGTGCAGTTCGTAAGACGCGAACAGGGCCGTTCAACCTACGGCGGACGGGGAAGTGCTGGGAAGCATTTCGGCCAGAAATGTCGGTATCACTTCGCCGACAGATCGGAATCTTGAAAAGCCGGATTGCTTGCACTTGACAGCGAGGCTAGTCGGCAAGAAGCGAGTTGGGAAGGTCGCATGAATCAACGGACTGCGATGGTGTTTCGTCGACGAAGCCTCGCTGGCTTCAGCTTTCGAAGGGCGCAAGCAATAGCTAGCAACCACTTGTAGCATGCGCGCCGCATCACCCGCCTCCGCCGTGACCCCACGGACACGCGAGGGGAGACCTGTGGCTCGGCGCTCAGCGAACTACTTCATGCAGGTTCCTGAACCCCCGCTCTCCGACATTGCAATGATGCGTTACTCGTACCAAGGTCCAGGTGAGCCGCGAGGTCAGTCGGTGCCCCAGACTGTTGCTGAATGCACGGAAGGGGAATCCACGAGCCTGGTGCGGAAATGCGCGCGCAGACTCAGGTCCAGCGCGGGTTCTGCCTTGGCCTCGGGATCAAAGCGCCGGGGGCATCTCAAGCTCGGAACTGGCAGTGACGATTCCTGCAAGCGCGCCCTCGAGGCCGCCTGTCTTTGTCAAGACGCGGACGGGTGCGATCGTGACACAGGCCCGGCAGACGCCAGAACCACCATGAACCACCTACTTCCCTGGAGCCTTGTGCTGTTGGTGCTTGACGTGTGACACTTTGCTATGAGCCAGGTCACCCAGGAAAGCTTCCTGGCTGCAGGGATCGTCGGAGCTTGCGTTGTGTTTTGTCGATCCGAGAGTCGATTTCCCACACACCATGCTCAGTTGATGGCGTCCGCCGGGTTGTGAACTTAAATCCCCGTCTTCCACCGGCCCCGACTTCGGCCGGGGCCTTCGCCTCTTGCAGAGTAGCGCTGGACGCATCGCTCGAGCTCCGCGGCTCTGCCGTTAGTCAGGTGCGGGTCCCCTTACGCCGTGCCAAGGCATGTGCCGGCCTTACCAATATCGGCTCACCTTGCATCAGGCTGTCCTCCTGGGCTCTGCTACTCTATGGAGAATTCTGTCGACACAGGTGCCAGCGCGGAGCGGCTTGCCGTTTGCAACACCGCCCCGCGTTCCGGCCTCAACCGACTTTTCCATCCTGCAAGCACAGACAAAATATGTATACAATGTACGTATATTCGACATATATACGCGTTTCGTTTCCATGCTACATGACAGAGTTCAATCTAGAATGCGCCCGTGATGTTCGAAAGTTGCGGCTCTGAGGTCAGGGCTGTAGATCTCCACGTGCGAGCCACGCTCCGACAGGGATTTGTCGCTGTGGATGTGGCACCCGTCGGTGTTCCGGATGTCCTGTGACCTGTGCAGTGCTCTCAGGCAGCGAGCTCGCAGCGCTTCGAAACCCCGCCGAAGGCCTGTGCTTTGGCGTTGACCACCTGAGCAGCGAGCTTCGACAGAGCGAGGTGGCAAGGCCACCTCCGTTGACATTCTCTGAGCTGGAACCAAGTCCCCGCACGCTTGAGCCAGAGGCTTCGTACATTTTGGGTTGTCTCGGACACATGACCCAAATGGATCCGAAGTTGAGAGGCGATGAGAGGCGTTTTGTTGCCAAGCTGGCTTTCCCTGCTCAGGTCACTTCCAACGCTCCTGACCGCAAGGGCGATTGGCCAGGACCGTCGCAATGACTTCCAGGACGAGCTGCCGAATCTTTCTACAGACTCATAGCATTCCCTTTGCCTTTGCCTCTCT